GCATCTCTCCTAAAGAGAGGAGTTCAAGTTTGCACCGATAAAGTTTGCAGAAGAATAAAAAACTTCCTCTATTATCACCCTTGATTTACATGAAGTGAATGATTACACAGGCAGGGATGAGAGCTGTGGGCGAAGGTCAGCGTGAAAAGATGCTGTGAGTCTATGAAAAACTGGGCTGACAAACATTATCCAGACTTTTGATCTCGTTGACTGACTGGATTAACTACCTGGAAGTTTCCCACCATGATGAGCCCTGCGGCGCAGAGCCACCCGGCGGAGAGGCCGGCGGTGTTGAGGATGCAGTTCTGGTGCTTCTCGATCACGTGAGCGTAGCGCAGCAGGCCGATCAGCATCACTGGAGGAGGTGAGGAAAAAAGGAAATGACAAATCGGGAAGAAAGGACCGTTTTTGTTGGTCAAAAAGTTATGCAACCACATTTTTTTCTCTTCCAGGAACAAAGCCCACACTACAAACTCTACCTGAGGTGTTTATGAGTGCTCCAGCGGGATGAGCTCCATCTCTACAGAGCAGAAAAATAACCTCAGGGCAACAAGCATGAAGCTTAGTCCTCTCTGAAACTGATTTGCTTAGGCTGCTTGGAGGCAGCAGACAGAAGGCTTGCATCATTTGTACTAAAAGGGTGACGCTGCTGGTCCATTCAATACACTACAGAGTCAGATTAACAGCACTGGATTACAGTTTACAATAAAGTACATGTCCTCAAGTACTTCACTGAAGTACTAGTTCAGTATACTTGCAGCTTATTTAAGGATTTCCATGTTATGCTACTTTTTGCCTCGATTCTACTACGTTAAAGATGCAAATATTGCGTTTTGTACTCCACACTGTTTATTTTAAAGCATTAATTCCTTCTTATTTTACTGACAGGCAGTGTACGGACAAAGGTTTTAGCCCACACCTCTTAATTGTCACGATCCTGGGTCTTATGACCCAGCATTTTGAGTTTTAGTTCATTTTGATGTTTATAGTTTATGTTTAAGCTCATTAGATTTCTATGTTCATTTGCTTATTATATTCCCCTTGTGTTTTCAACCCTTGTGTTAAGTCTCCTTTATGTGTTTCATGTCTGTTTCTTATGTTGTCAAGTTCATGTAGTCATGTCAGTGTTTCATTGTTTCCTATTTTATTTTGAAAGAGGTCCTGTGTTTCGGTGCTCTGTTTTGCTCTTTCCCTGTGGGCGTCGTTATGTTCATGTTGTGTCTACTTTGCCTTTCTGTCCCATGTTTCAGCTCCCTATGTTCTGTCTCAGTTGCTGTTAAGTTTACATGTTTTGAGTTCAGTCAGTGTGTTTCCTGTTTTACTTTGAAGGTCCACGTCTCATGTGAGTGTTTCTAGTTTTACTTCCCTTGTCTCGTCCAGCCTGATTACTCCCAGCTGTGCTCTCCTTCTGTGTCTCATTCCCTCGTTATCCCTCTGTGTATTTAAGCCCTGTGTTTCTCTTTGTCAGTGTCGTAGTCTCCCTCATGGCTGTGTTTCCCTGTGTGTTAGTTATCCATGTCCCAGTTTAGTTTAGTTATATTTTTTGTGCCATTCTGCAATAAAGCAACTTTTTGAGTTTAATTCTGGTGTGGTGAGTTTTGCGTTTGGGTCCTTCTCCTGCCTGTACACAACCGAAACATGACATTAATCTTTTAATTCAGGTGTTTTCAGTGCCATTGTCACCGGTGTATAAACTGAAGAACTTAGCGATTCGGTCTGCCTTGACAAACATTTGTGATGTAAAGGGTTAATCTGAGGGTTAAAGGGTTATCCTCCATGTAAAGTTACAGAGCGGGGACACAGACTGCTGAAGCATCTAGAAAAATCCCCAGTGCTCTGCTGAATCAGTAAATGCAGAGCTCCAAACCTCCTCTGGCATTAACATCAGCACCACAGCTGTGCACCAGGAGCTTCATGGCATGGCTTTCCAGGGCCAAGTAGCTGCTGAAGGTGTGATGTGCAGGGGAATCAGTACTAGTATCCTTACAGTATGATTATAGATAAAGCTACTATCTCCACCTGCAATATTGAACTGATCACCAGTTAATTTAACATGCATATCTTTGGGACTGTGGGAGGAAACTGGAGTACCCAGAGAAACGCCATGCAAGCACAGGAAGAACATGCAAACTACCAGGAAGGCAAATCAAATTTGTGCCAACTCAGGTCCCTGCTTTAGCCACACCAGTATTTTTGCAACTATAAGACTTCCAATGCCCAAACTGCACAGAATAAACCTTTAGTCGTGCTCAAAGCTAAAGCTTGATGATTCTGCACATCCCTGTGTGAGCAGATTCCTGATGTCTGTTTATGAAACGTCTCCTTCAAAGCTTCGCAGCAGTTTCACACGGCTCTCCCACCCTCCCGTCTGATGATCATGCCGTTCACATCTGGCACTCATCTCCCTGCAAACTGCAGAGAGCGACTGTTTTGATGTTCCCGTGGGTTGTCCAGCAGCGAGCACAGTGGTCCGTTTGTGGCGATCGAGTGCACGCCGCGATAAGACAATAAGTGTTTTGGGTTCTGGGTTAGGCGTGCGTTTCTTGGGCTGCTGCACAGCAAGAGTTTGACATTTACCATTCTTCTAACCTCACACTACACCTTTGAATTAAACAAACTCCCCCACCAATATAAACTGAGCATTGTTTATGAGAGGGGAATAAAAAAAGAAGGAAAGCTTTTGATGTGGGAGGAATGAGCTCGCTCACAACTCCTAGTTTTTGCAGACTTCACTGAAATCATCCATAAAAATGGTAATTACCGGAAAGAACTTGTTGTTCCTGTATTCCTGCAAAGAGAACAAGAGGTCCTTCCTTTAAGTTTTTATCTATTATCCTTCAAGTCAAATTAAGATGTTGTCATTCCTTGACTTGGAAAGAACACTGCTCAGCCCGGCGCCGGGACACCACGGACCAGGATCGCAAAGTTACACACCAGGGCACAAATGTTTGGTGCGCTTTTGCCAATTTAAGAGAGATTTTGAGAGCTACGTATCAGGCGTCTGTGGTCTAATGAAATAGAAAGTGACAAAAGCAAGAGAAGTAAAGTTTTCTATTAAGCTCTAAAGCTTATTTTTCTAAAGTCTTTGTCGCTGTTGCAGACTATTTTCTAGAGGTGGGAATCACCATACATCCCACGATATGATATTATCACAATACTTAA